TTTATGGGCGTGAAACACATCCATTAAGAATAAAGGAAAATCGCAAGTCTTTAGTATTCGATCATAAATGTCTTTGAATCATTACTCGTATGCTTTTGAACCACCGAGTAAACGGTGATTGTGTTAAGAATAAGGTACTAGGTAATTATGGCAAATCGATTAAAGAGGTATTGACTCTGTATCAACTGAGGCGGTTGAGACATGTGTAATCTATGCCTGGCCACTGTCTTTCTCAATAGGGAACGTCGTATGGAGTATGACTAGACTGTAAGAAGCTGAGGATGTCCAAAACAACACATGGTATCAATTCATACAGTCTAAAAATTGTAATGAACCGTTTTAATAGATACAGACTACCTGGTAGGGCGTAAGCGATTATCGTAACTAGTGGTTAGAGACTTTGAATGACGTGGCTCAGAAGTGTTCGCAATCCCACAGGTGCATTCACTCTTTTTCCTCTCTCATAATAGTCTTATTGTGCTAATTTTCATTTTCTTGAGTCGTATCATTGATGCCTGATTTTTTCTCTTACCGTTTACTTCCTTTATTACTCCAGTATTTGACTTAACAATTTTATCTCGCTGTGCTGATGGGGTATGACAACTTGAGCAATGTACCAGTTTCCACGTTGCTAATGGCTGGCTTGAATGGCAGCTACATTGTCCAACTTGTATGATCTCTATTCATGCGATTTTGCATTATCCCATTGCAGATATTCCAAAGTGTATTTTTAAATATATTGCTGACCATTCGGACTCAGTAGTTTAGTGAATACTGTGTTGGCGTTCAAACCAGTGGAGATAGGCTTGAAGTTGTATTGTAAGCATCAATACTGGGTAATATGTACATTCCGATGATGGATTTTGAATTAGACTGATTTAAGCCTTTTTTCATTAAAAGGCTATTTGAATCACCTCACAATGGTAAGGTGATATAGACAGGCATTTTCTTTACCAAAGCTTTAATCGGTCTCACTATACCATGAACTTTCAATCTATTTATGAATTTAAGAGGATAGCCAATTTCCATTAATGTTTTATTTAGCAGCCTAACATCATCATCAGTGGCGTCAATTGTAGAAATACGATCATTGTGTTCAAATTGTTCGAATTGTAGTGCGCTAATATATCACATAGTTCTGATAATCTTCGTCTTCTTATTACACTATCAAATTCATATATCTGTGTAGAGGTAAACAAGAATTACTTTCTTTTGTGGACTGTTGGTTTCTTTTTTATTGTAACGCAATATTTTTAATCAGAAACTATATAAATATATTCATCTCAATGTAAATAATAAGAAAATATGGTTGAATACAGAGTTATCTAACATCGAAAGTAAATTGTAATTCCATCACAATGCACTTATTTTTAATACACATTTATTTTGAATAAGTTAAGTGGTCTCGTAATTAACTAATGAACAGCTTAATTCATTTTTGTATTAGTTATTTAAATGTTCCCGTTAATGTTTAAAACTATAATTGATTAATCCCTTATTGTCATAATGTGCATCCTGTGCAGAGTGCTTCAATAATGAAATTTCAAAAGTTCCATTTGTGTTTCTAAAAAAAAGAACAATAGGTCTTTACCTTAAACGTATCCTTTCGATATTGATTCTTGTGGTGATACCAAAATTTATGCACGACCTTTGGATGACGCGATTGATATTGCGTATTCACACAGTAATCAGGACCAAATGAGGGTTATAAACCTGTATGAGGATTTAGAATTACGAATAACAGTTGTTGGTTAAAGTTAGGAATTAGATTTAGGATTTTTATCACGAACAGACATCAGGTATAATGCCAAACCTCTATTTATCCAAATGGATGAGTGAATTTCGCTCCAAAATCCAAGACCTATATTGGTCGACGTGATTGGTTCGTCCATAAATTATAGTGTCGCCGTTCAACACTTTTTTATAATTTCTCAATACCAACTTAATTTTTATAATTAGATTCATGGTATTTTAGTAAATATTAGATTACTGAATCAGAATGTTTCTAATGTATTCTCCGTTTTCATTGTAAATGACTTTTTCCAGTCATAATATACAAATAAATTATACGAAACACAGCGTAAAGTTGGCACATTAAATTCTCTTTCTTTCTTTCTCTCTCTCTCTCTCTCTCTCTCTCTCTCTATATATATATATATATATATATATATATATATATATATATATATGGGAATACTGATTATAATTCCTTCACTTGATTCATAAATTATTACTGCACTATACCACAGTCTTCTTTTTCATTAGGTATTAGTTTTATTTATTCATAAATATAAATTTTAATTTGGAAATTTCAATTACTGCTTTCCTACAACTACCTTATTGTTTGATTTTAAGTTGAATTTCATTATAAATAATCATTAAATGATGGTGTATTAGAAGTAGAAAATGCTTCAGTTTTCTTCAGTGGTGCTTATTATTGATCGAACACCGGAATTCGTGATCTCATGATTAATCTGTTGCTTTCCGATCAGTAAATGCAATCAGTTTATCTACATTTTTGACTGAGTTTGTGATAAATTGTCACCTTAATTAAATATCTTTATTAATGCTTGTCTCAATCTCAGCACTGCTAAACACATCACATTAACAGATGGAATTTGCAGCGAGACTATAATTTATGGACGAACCAATCAGTTTTAGGATAACAGGTCTTGGATTTTGGTACAAAATTCATTCACCCATTCGGTTAAATAGCATCTTGGCATTTTAGCTGATGTCAGTTCGTGATGAAAAACCGTAAATCTAATTCCTATCCCTAACCATCAACTGCAAATCGTAATTATTATTCTTCAAACTGCTTTATAACCCCCATTTAGCCCTAGTGAATTGGTAGAAACTCTCAAAGTCACTTTGGCGTCGCTCAAAAGTCATCCATAAATTATAATCTCACTGAATTCTTCTGAGTTGTTTCTTAAAAAAAGTAAACACAAATATTAATCCTGACCTGCTAAAATTCAGAAAAATATACAGAATGTTATGACTTAATTACTTTTTGTTACGTTTATTATAAGACCTAATGGTAATATTGATTCATAGTTGTCAAACGATGTTGATCAATCTCAGTCCGGAAGATCAATCCGAGGATGCAGGGATCTTTGAAAATGAATTATACAATCTTATTTACGATTTATATTTTTCAGATGTTTATAGACATTATTAAAATGATTATTACCAGACATTATTTTATCATCATAGGAGGTTGTTGTGTTTCATCGCGATCACCAACTGATCTAAGTTAGACAACCGTTGAAACCCCAGAAGCACTGGACGGTTGTCTCGTCTCAAAGAGAGACTACTCAGCAACGTTCGCCTACAACCAGGCAACCGGGAATAAAACAGAACACCTTTAATCTTGCACCCGAATCCTTAACCTTCAGATCACTGGACTTGGATCAACTGATGTAGTTGTTTAAATGCAATCAATTCACGATATGGAACAACTGTCTTTGATTGTCTGTTTTTTAGTCTTCGCATGTACATCGGTTTTTTAACCTCTTATTCACTAAATATTGATAGGTTTTGGTTAGCTTTCAATCAGATACAAACTATTCATCATAGTGTATTAAATTCAGTGCAAAGATCCAATAGCCACTATTTTGAATCCAATTAATTCATTAGTAAGATGTATAAGAAAGACATTTCGTGCAGTCTTCTTAAGTGGTATGTGAGAATCAATATAAGAAAATTAACTCACTCTATGCACGAGTACTGATCGACTCATTTCATTGATCAGTTAGTATGATCAGTTTCCAGAAAAGCATAATGAATCGCCCTTCATCTTGACTACCTCTAGTAAGAACAGTGACGGACAGTTTCTTATGCACCTGGTTAAATGAAAACTTCCAACCCCACCTGAGCATATCTAATGAAAGTAGAAGCTATATCTATGGTACACATAATTGGTAACCTGTGCCTTCAAAATATTACCAGTGTATAGTAAATCCATATATTGTGTAATGCTTACAAATAAGTGGTATTTGTATTAATGAGGCGATAAATCATCATTTTAGGTGAATGGGTTAAATGTTGAAAACGCTTAACCAATGCTTACTGGATAAGTAGATTGGGCAAAGCCAAGTTCACTGGTCTATATGGTCAATAACAGCTAGACTGCATGTTATGGGGGACAGTAGGCTTCCTGTTTGTGCGCTGTACAAAAATTGAAGTCTGTGTTACCGGATGTCTGGTAAACTTACAGAAAATCATTGGCAATTTCTCAGTTGCATTTATTTTTGTTATCCTTGTCTTACTCTTCAACTTAGTTATATCGGTTACTTTTCCTTCTTCAACTGCATTTATTTTTCTAAAGTCATATTGCTTATGTATACCGAGTCAGGTTTTACCTCCTCTATAAATTTCTGAAGGGCAAACGTTGGATCCAAGCCAAATCAATGTACTTCTATCAATTTCGTTAATCTCGTAGAGCAAGTTTTACTGACCGCACAAACTAAGCTGTTTCTAAACGCATCTATCTGTATGTTGATTGGACTATACAAGTCAGTCAATACTTCAATCCTGAAACACCTCGTCAATTCTGGTCACTCTGTTTCATGAGAATCCCCTTTTAAAATCATCTATACAGTCACCAGTACTAGTTCAGGACTTCAAATTAAGAAGTTACATTTAATAAAGGATCTAACGCTCCACCAATTTAAGCCTAATCTTAAATCTTAAATTTCTCATTTCACCATGGTTTTAATTCTCATTTCTATCTTTCATTTTCAATTACCTGATATTTTTTATGCTTTTCTATTTTTTTACAGTTATTACTTATCTATTATCGAGCAAACAATTATCACTCATGTACAGACTAGCATTAATTTATTAGCCACTGAATCATTACAAAACTTCATTGAAGTGTTCAATTTTCTTTGGAACAATTTCTGATGCAATACAACAATACAATATCCGCTTATAATGCTTATGACTTAATGTCGAAGAAACCCACACAGGATGTACATATGCTAATAAGAAACTAATCAATTGCAGTCCTAAAGATCAATGGAAAGTTTCAAATAACCAATACAAAAATGAATTAATACAACTTTAATTTGGGGAACTTTTTTAAAATTAAGCAACAGTTTTCTGTCTAATCGGTGGCTACTACATTTACAAGTGGTAAAATGACAATTGATGACTCTCACACACTTTCCCGTAGCATTCTTTAACGCCTTCATCAAGGGACTGGCCATCAGAAACAACATAGGAGTTTATTTTATATCTTTGACCACATCTTAAATAACTTCTCTTGTGTTTACTCTTAATTACAAAAAAAACTGTTCTGCGGATTATTCCCTTTTTATGCCCATCTCCAAAAAATCTTAAATAATGACCTCATATTTAATTTCATTGGACAAAAGCTTTTGTCCAATCAGTTACAAAAAGGCACTTGTCAAAACACTGTTTCACAGAACAGAAATAATATGTTATGAATGTTAAAAAGTGTTTAAAGAATAACGAATACCCACTAAAATTTATTGAGAAAAATGGAAAAAGTGAAGATAGAAAAAAACTCAAAGAAACCACAGCAAATAATGCCACAGGGTCAATCAATATGAAACTAGAGACTGCATTGACAAGAACTTATCCTGAAGCTAAATTGATTGTTCTGTCCAAAACAACATGTTCTTTGACACAATCAAAGGTCGACAGGTATCGCTTTCATGTTACCACTAACTATATATACAAATTTACATGTATCTGCCAAAGCAGTTACATTGGTGGAACAGAAACATATTCCGAAGAGTTTAAGATCGAACGGACTAAAAGCATTCAGCAGTGCCATCGCAAGACATCTCCTTGACACAGGACACGAAGTCGATACACTGAAGTCCTTCAAGGTGATTAACAAACAATTAAACTCCAACCTTTTGAAATTTGCCTAAGCAATATCAATCAGACATCTAAAACCAGATCTATGTATACAAAAAGAGACGGAAATAAATTTTCCTTTTCCCCTGGTAACATTACCCCCTCCCTTTTATTTATTTATTTATTCATTATGTCATTCAATATTCCAACTCTCTGAAGTTTAAAATTACATAACTGACTGCTTTCAATTCATATCTTTCTTTATTATCAATAATCTATTTTCAGTCACTTCATTACGTAATCATCGAATGTTTTTTTTAATTTCATGAGTTCTAATCACTATTTCAATGTTCAGGAACTTTCCTTCCTAAACTTTATTTATTCGAAACAAAATCCTTTATGAGCTTATTAACTTTATCGGATTCTTCGCTACATCATGATATACATATTCATTCTTAATCACTCTCTTATGTATAAGTATATCAATATCTGTAATAACTCTGATTTTCAAATATTTTAGGTTGTAAGCCGCTGATGTGAACCTAACGAAATAAAATGAATCCATTTATTATTCATCAACAATCTTTGATCTTGCTCTCTTTAACGAACAATGTCACTGATATATGAAAGAGTGGGATGAAAAATGTTTTTATACTAACACGGTTGTTAAGGGTAAATATTTAATAAAAACTATTATGTTATTCATTTCCTTGATTATTGTAATTGATTATTATGCATAACTGATTATGAATAATGACACGATCTTTTTTTAATTTTCTTGTTTACTACTACTTGTTAAAAAAAACTACTCATTAATAAGACTGTACAACATAATTCGATGAGTAAGTTAAAATTAATGAAAAGAGTTTACTTTACCTAGTTATCTTTAATCTTTTTCTTTCTTTCTTTCTTTCTTTCTTTCTTTGTTTAATGGTATAATGAATTTGTTTATGTTTAGTTAAAATCATTAGTGAAAATATAGAACGAATGCAATAAGAAACAAATGAATTAGTAACTCTATATGGTTTGTCTAGATTCTTTCAATAGTCTAATGATTGTGTTGTGTTTTGTTGTGTGTTTTTTTCCTCCTCTTAAAACACATAAGCAAATTATAATTTAAATAATTTGAGAAATCTAAAGTATCCCTTTGAAAAATTGATACATTAATTTTAATTAAGAAATGAAAGAAGAAAAAAGAAGTAGAAGTAAAAGTAGGCAACGATGGAAGAAGCGGGTAATGATGATAATAGTAATAATAATAATACACAAAAATGTAATAAATATGTACATACTTTATAAAAAGAGCTCGTCATAGAAACAGTAAAAGAAAGTGAAGAATAAAAGACAACAACAAACAGGAATTGAAAATAATGTAGAAGGTGAAAGATTAATGTTATTGATAAACTGATTATGTTCTGAGATTAAACTTTTGTTTTTAAAGAATTAATAATACTTCCATGACGTATTGAACCAGCACTTAATGGACGAATTGCAGGATTATTGTTATTATTATAACTGGTGTTTAAAGTAGTTGGATTCACATTTATAATCGATGAACGTTGTATACTAGATACAGGTGTACTTCCTGAAGATGGTATAATCATAGAGGTTTTATTTCTTTGTATTAAACTAATAGAACGTTTATTAGTGCTTGGTTGAGATTTTGGTGAACGATTCTTTTTTAATATTTTTGCAATATGCTTATAATAAGAAGAGAGTAAATGATAAATAAATGAAATTTATTATTTATATCTTTGTATGTATTTTTGATTATATTCAAAATAGTGGGAAAATACGTTACTACTCTGTACAATCAAGTTAATTTAAACTAATTCATTTTCTGTGTAGCCCCGTAGTGATACTATAATTGATGAATGACCTTTGAGTGACGCTAAACTGACCTTGAGAGTGTCCACCTAGTAGAACCGAATGGGGGCTATAAACCAGTGTTAGCAATTTGAATTATGATGAACAGTTGATGGTTAAAAATAGTAATTAGATTTCGGTTTTTCACCACGAACTGACATCAGCTGTAATACCAAAACTCTATTTATCCAAATGGATGAGTGAATTTGTCTCCGAAATCCAAGACCTATTATGTTCGACGTGATTGGTTCGTCCATAAATTATAGTCTCGTCGAATTTTCTATTCAAATCTTAGTTCTACATTATAGACTATGTTTAACTTATAATCAGTGAATTTGTCTTAGTTGAAATACTAGTTAATAATAAAATTGTGTCTTATTGGACATGTTTTTGAATAGTCAATATTGAACAATATGTTGTTACTATTTCGCATAGAAACAGATTAACAACGTTTTTGTAGAGATTAAGATCTATTATAAAGTTAGATATATGTATATTGATGTTCTGACGTCAGTTTCTTCTAATACCTAACCTGAATATTGTTTTCGAAGTTGATTTTTAAAATGAACTAATATCATCTAGAGAAAAGCCGAGGATCGCTAGACAGTTTTTCGTCCTTTTATGGAACTTCTCTGTACTAAATATCCATAATCTAATTCTGGAACAATTTATTCTCATGGAGAGCACCAAACCTTAAGACTAACAAGGTGGAATGCTCATTATTCTCCACAGTATTTAGGTCACCGAGCATCTCCTGTAGAATTTCCCAGTGACGTATTTCTCCAGTCCTCAGTGTTCATAGGATTACATTGATTAAGTTTCAATAAGATCTCCAAGTTTAGAGGTCCAAAATAACAGCTCATTTTTTATTTAAAATAAAATAGTTAATATTAGTTTTCTACTGATCATCGATTTAGGATTTGCGCAGTTGGCATACTAGAAAAAGTCTTATTTGCAGTCTCTAAGCCAAATGTAATCCTTGGAGAATTCTTTTTATTCCTCACTATAATAATTAGTGGTTCTTCTTTATTCTAGTGATTGTACCGCTACTCTATTGGTAGACTATATGTAGCGTTAAAAGTACTGATAAACATTATTTTTCAACAGGTAACATACAGATCAAATATCTTTTTGGCGTTAATGTTCACTACCGGACTTAAACCTAATACTTTTCAATGCAGACGCGCAACACAAAATCCACTGAGATGCTGAGTCCACATGGCCATACAATGGGTTACAGATTACACTAATAGCCAAAATCTAATTTTGCTTAAATACATGTAAGCTAATGGTAAAATCAAGGCAGTCCACTCAGAATGTATACATGCCAACAATGACTAATCAAAATTCAATCTTTACTATCGACAAATAAAAGGTTCAAACGCTCAAAAAATAAGGAACAAAAAAATAGTTTCAAGCCTCTTCACTGACTACTTGCAATCACATTTCAGAAATACAGAATTTTTCGTTATTTCTTAAGGCGAGAAAAACATTATACCTTTTGCCAACTAGTTGGAAATGCATTCAGTAGACAAGCAATAGTAATCAGAATTAAACTTGAAATTTGTACTGAAGACATAATCAATATTCGTTTCATCCAAAATAATTCATAAACTGGAAAAGAAAGAGGATATAAAGCATAAATTAATTCAGTAATATAGATTCATGAATCAAATACTGGGCTGCTGATACATCCATATGGTGTTTCAACAAGGATTCAAAGCATATTCTGAATCCAGTTATTGGGCAAGATAACAAAAACATGTTTATCTATGTTTTTGATATACTTTGATAACAATTTTTAATTTAGTTGACTGACAGAATACCTTAAGTATGTAGATAGTCACCCAAACAAATAGCTAAGTGAAAACTGAACATATATTTGTGTAGACTAAATAACTTCAAACAACTGAGTGGATATTTATTAGGTAACTGGAGTTGGTGTTTATAAGTAAAACATTTTATAACAACTATAAGCCTTTAAATTTGCATATAGAATCACGACGGATCAATCTAATATGAGAATGAAGGTCACAACACAATCAACGATGATTCGTTTGTATTTGTTGCATCTAGAATGTATGTTTTCAACTCTATGATATTAAATAAGAACTTTCGTCTAAATTTGATCGAATAGTTTCACAGTATTTAGGCGTCGAGTTGATGTGAAACATTAAAGAGAAAGAATGTATTTGTAAAATCTCAGTCAATGAATTTGAAGTTAATGCAACATTTCGCCTGGTAATTTGATCCAAGCTTTTTCACGGAAATATAATCAAACATCAAAATTATTGAATATAAATAGGTAAATGATTCTCCGGTTCACTGTATACTGAATAAATCATCATCATCACCTAATTTTCCTAAGTTGCATCAATCTAATGTGACATTAAACAAGATTAAAAAGTGAAAATATATTATCTAGTTGAAATCAACAGAAAAAATTTTAGGTCAGGGATGAAGATTATCGAAAGTATTAAAATGATAATTACTCTTATCCATGTCATAATTGACATTATTTAATTTTAACTTCCAAAATTAAAGTTTTAACTAACAACGACTAATAAAAAAAACTTGTTTCTAGGATAGAAGGTTTTTTTAAGAAATATATTTTGGTTATATCTTAACAAGTAGAAAAATTTATTTCTGATGTTTTGTCACTTAGTGTGGACCGCTTCTTCAGAAGTGGGATATAACAAAAATATATTACTTATTAAATTTCTATCTAATGATTAATTTATATATATATATATATATATATATATATAATGTGATATGACCTTTTGAAGAATTTTATCATCTATAAGCTTATTTGAGTCCAGTTAGTTAACTAATGTGTAAAACATATGTCAAGTTTAGGTTTATTTACAGGCTGGTTGCCAAACTATACAAGGAAAAGCAGGATTACCTGAGATCCATTCCTACCAACCACTGGCTATTCACATTTGTTTCAGTTTCTGCTGCTGGGTAGATAATTACTAACCCTTAGAGTGAAATCATGATTCATAATCAGGTTTATAAATATGTCCCCAGTTATCTAACAACATCATTAATATTATTAAGACTACGTAAATTCAAATGTTTGAACATTTATACAGTAATTTTATTTCACATATAAGTTGTTGACTGCATTCCTTTAAGCCATACAATCATACTTTGATATTACTTTTTTAGTTCGTAGTGATCATCTTTAGGGTTATACTAACACAGTTCTGACAGAACTTTAGGACTTTAAGACTTCCATAAGCTTTTGAATAGAAAGAGCAGAAACCTAAAAGTTCTATTGAATGACAGTTACCCTCTGATACGAATTAGTTTAAATTATACAATGTTGTCGTTGTGACAACGTTCGAGTGACGCTCGACTGACCTTGAGAGTGTCTACCTAATAACTAGGACCAAATGAGGGTCATAAACCTGTGTGAGGATTTAGAGTTATAATCTTCAGTTGATGGTTGAAGTTAGGAATTGGATTCAGGATTTTCATCACGAAGTGATACCATCTATAATGCCAAAACTTTATTTATCCAAATGGATGAGTGAATTTCACACCAAAATCCATGACCTATTATCTTATAGGTGATTGGTTTGTCCATAAATTTTAGTCTCGCCACATTGTTAATTAAAACCAATCTCACTGACAGGCTAAATAATTACGCAGGCGCTATTAGGCTTGAATGTTTTAATATCTATGGGTACGAAATTTGAGGTGAACATAGCAGAAGACTACCATTCAGTGCTTTTCTATTTTTCTTCTCTTTCTCGTACTGGTAATCTTTGATTTTAACGAAAATTATCATTCACAAACCATCTAACTGATCAACTCAAAGTCCTATTTCAGTTAATATAATACATATGTATTTTGATTGATCAATAACTTTTGCAAACGACCTCTCTATGTTGAAATATAAGAGCTGTAAAGAATGAAATTAGCTAGCATAATAACTCTAATTTACTGTTGTTGGTTAACCAAGAAACATTAGTTCTATATCAATTAATAGTTTACACAGGAAACCTATACTATTCTATACATTTTTATACTTCAGATAATACTAGATAACAATGTAACAATTAAATGAATTATACCACTTGAAATGGTTACAATTGTACTTAACCATCTAGCTAACTTTGAGATAAATATATATATATTCATGATTTACTTGTGCTGATTATATGGGATTACGTCACTATCTATTTTAATTATTTAAATAAACTTCTATACTAATACTTCACTTATTCTCTGTGATGATTGTTAAAAATCAATTTAAGTGAATAGTTCTAATCCATTTTTTTTAAGAAATAGTCTATATACAAATCAACAAAATTGATATTAATAAGACTGATGATAATAATACTTGAGTACTTATTATTTATATCTTTTTGAATGTCCTTTCTTTGGCTATAAATTGAAGTTTGAAAGAGAGTAGACAATATATAATCACTTATAAACTATTCAATGAGTTGAATGTTTCTTTAAACTGATAAAGTATATTAAACTAATGAGAATAAGAAAGAAAATATCAAATGAAAATTTAATATAATTGAAACTTACTAATACAAATAGGTAAAGCACATAATGGTTGAATAGCTCTTATGATTCGTTTTGTTTTACGACAACTCATATCCATAAAAACAGTGATACCTTTATTTTAATTAAAAAAAAAGAGAATATGAAATACCAATAATGATGATATAAAAATGATAAATTTGAAAATGAAAAGTTTTATATTTGGTCAGTTGTTGTTATGCATATCTATTGCACAAGCTAATGTCTATCTTAATTCAATAAACTAGTAGAAGTGTCTAAAATTGAAGTGATCGAGTTTGAGTTTCAGTGTAAATGTTCTTGTTAGGATGTACAATTGGGATCCAAATAGAATGAAATTGACGTCCTGGAATGTGTTATTGATTACCATTTAACTTTCTTGATATAGGAGTGAATTAAACAGTTTGGAAACTAAAAATATTCTTCAGTAATCTTTTTATGAAGGAGGTAACCCAATAAATATAGCTTTGATTTAAATTGTATATGTATTAAAAGTAGGAATTAGTACAAAGATTTAGGATTACCTTTTTCATCAAACTTCAGATCGGGAATAATAAGCAAGTTGTATGATCTTGGATCAACAATAACTGAATAGCCACTATAAAATAAAGAAATTTGTTTTATCTAGTTCTGGAATCCGAAACAAGCATGTAGTTCTAAATTTGCCCATAACTCAGTATTGATATTTATAACAGGACTCGAATTCATTTCCTTTAGCTTCGTATGCTGACTTCCAGATGTATTTACACTCCTAGTAACCCCAATCAACTACTTTATTATTTGTCTATTCTCCGCAATTTAGACATTTAATCCACTATGTAAATTTATGTGTGAGTCTGATCGAGCACATCAATCTTTAATTTATTCTGCCATTGGTTGTAACACAAAGACAATCAATAATTTATCCATAATCGATTGACATTCATAAATATATATGAATTTTGAACACACACACTCGTTTTCATGTGTTCTAGCTTTCTGCACGCTTGCTAATTTTTCTAATCATTAACAAAAAACAATCTCTATAACTGATGTTCGGGCTTTTGAATAATGTCGAGTAATTCCATAGTTGTACTAGCAGATTTAGCCTATGTTAAGTACTCAGTTACTGGGATACTATTTATTGGAGTCAGATGTAGAGGAAATTAACCGCTACACATTCGCTTGACGTGTATCCTACATTTCACTGATAGCCACAAATCCATTTATTTGTAGAAGCTCGTAAAAAACGATTGCATTACCATTATGTTCACGTATTTGAATTTGAAAAACAGTTTAAGGGACATAGACTTATCAAAGCACCAACATTATATTTGCAACGTGTCTTATTATTACTGTCATTTGAAATAAAGCTCTTTGATGATCGTTTTACCAATGGTAATTAAAATTGTATTATCTCGAATTGTTTTCTACACATTAGCATTATGTATTAGATGAATCAAATTGTGTTGCAGAATACCATGTTGATTATGTCATTAAAATAGAATGTTTCTAATTTTTTTCCCTGGGTAACATACAGTGCTTATACTTATTTGAATCTGTTGATTAACTCCTAAGATAAATATATTATCACTTTGAATATATATTACATATAGTGGTAGATAAATTTAAGCAAATTGTACCTACCTAAATATGAAATTCCTACACCAATAAAATAATCCCATGGTAAATATATCCAAGTTATTATTTCTGTTGAGGTCAGAATAGAGGTGAATACAAAAATCGGCCAAGTAGTTAAAATGTTAAATAAGCCTATTGTAGTGAAAAAGAGGTTGGGAAATTATATAAGGTGATACGTTAAGAAAATGACAAATCACACTGAATAGTTAAGATAAAGAATTTTTGGTTTGATTAATGAGTATTGTTTTCATTAAGATTTGACTTCAGAAGTATTGGTCTTTCAGTTTTCATAGTGTCTATCAATCGAACTTGTTAGTTCCAGCTTCTACTCCACTGAACATGTATGTATATCTTATTAGAAAACTTAGTAACTGAAGTCCAAGAATTAGAAATGGGTAAGTTATTAAACTCCAAGTTTCGTTCAAAATGCAAATCATAGTCATTAATATGATCAGACGTACATGTTTTTAATTTTCCATTTTTTCATACCATTTCTTCCGATAGATCAGGAATAGGTAATTATCAACAGATGAGAATGAAGACATGTTGGATCCAACCAGAGGAAAGAGTTGTTACAAATGACATTGGATAAACACTATAATAGTACGGCTAAATAAATATTGTTATAAACAACGGACAATCTATTCCATCTCATTAGTCATATGCTATCGTCACAAGACTTGATAGTCATGATTGGGATACAGAATAAGGATTGCGGACGTACATTGCTGAACTGTTCCAAAACTGATGGAACTGATTCTGCCTGAAACATCATGGTTGTTCCAGTAGTTGGTTCTCCAGGTAGCATCGATTCATTGTGGAAATGGCTCTTAGAGATGAAAACGTAACAAACTGGGGAATATTCAAAATCTATTTTTCTAATATATTTGATCATATGAAGAATGTCATGATGAGCTAAACATCACTGTCTAATGTTAACTTCATAAATCATCTAATGATCTGTATTGATATATGTATAAGTATTTATGTACGTCAAAAATAATAACTTTTATATGCAGCATTACTAGTTAACACTTTTATAAACGGGTTTCGGATTATTAAAATCAGTATATAGGATATTATGTGACAGATGATGTGTTGTGATGCCTTTTTTGCTTAGCAATGATTGGACTATTTACTTGAATCCTCTAAAGAACTGAAACCAAAGATATGACCACTAGCCAAAAGAATAGTTTTTATCCATAAAAATCGAATCCTTAAATAAAAATTGCTAACAGAAAAGTGACATATTAAGATATGGTAAACAATTAAAAAATATCGGCTCCAGTGATTTGACACCTGGACTGAGGTTCAGGATACGTACTTCGTCTTATTTGTTATATGTCAAATGGATACATCTGGACTTATGGCAGTGGAGACTCACCAATTGGAGTCCTGAATTACAACAACGAGGATTATAGACTTTTACTGATATATATAATACTAATTACCATTAGTATTACTACTACGTGAGTTGTGAAAGAGTCTCATACAAGAACGAAATATCTGTCCAATGATGCAGGGCTTTCAATGGTGCTTAAACTTAAGTAAGTCATTTTATCTTCAGATGAAAGCGAATTCACAGTCAGTGAATTTCTGTCTAAAAAATCTGACTGAAAAATGAATTGAGTAAATGGAAACAATCGTTTGTTCTGCATTAAAACAAAAGCTATAAAATGAAAGTCAAACAGTAGCATGAGAACACTTATTAATTCATCAAAAAAACTTTTAGTAAATTTCTGTTAAATATGTTTTTTTCTTTTGACTACAATCTTAAAAGATACTTGCAATATAGATACCAGTAATTGGATTTGTGACAGCTTGTTAACCGTTTTATGAAAGAGAATAAGTAAATGCACCTTCGGAAACGTAATGCAGCATAGAAGTATGAGAAGGTCGCGAAGAGATATATGCTTAGACGTTTATAGGGATCCAAAAATATATCGTTTAATGTAATTATGCAAATGTAAATGTTTTTTTTGTTGTTTACGTAATTTGCTTGTAATCGATGACGACTTAGGAAACATCGAAATATCATTTGTTTCTCATCGAATATCTCAAGTTTATTTTTTATATCGATCAGAAATATTATTTTTTGTTGTTCACTATTTGATAACTTGAAAAACACTGTGAGTTATCTTAGACGTTTTTGTCAAACCATATTTTCTGAAATCAAATGACTGGTTATTCTTCATGACAGTCAGTATAATATTAGAGTGTAACGCTATTCAGTATTGTGTTAGTTGAATAGTATAAAACATATAATAGAGATATTCAATTAAAAGATTCGACGTTTAATGAACTTACTCTCTATATCTTAACATCTATGGTCTGATATATTTGAATTATCGGGATAAATTCTGTTAAAATCAGAAATGATTATTGTTTTTTATAGACTACTTGATTGCGGATCAATTAACTGACTAATGTCTTACAAATCACAAAGCATCAGAATCTGTATTGCTTGTTCAGTTTTTAGTTCACATCAATTCCCATCGATTGTGCTTGAAAAATGATTTGCCTTAGAAATATTATAGAATAGTTTTTGGGCGAGACTATAATTTATGGACGAACCAATCACTTATAAGTTAACAAGTCATGGATTTTGGTGCGAAATTCACTCATTTATTTGGACAAATAGGGTTTTGGCATTATAGGTGATATAAGTTCGTGATGAAAATCCTAAATCTAATACCTAACACTGGTTTATAACCCTCATTTGGTCATGGTTATTAAGTGAACACTCTCTAGGTCATTGGTTAACAAATAAATAATCACATACTACTTGTTTACACAAATTCCAAACAATATTCTCTTATCAGAAGGGGTTTTGTGGAGATTTTAGAAATTTCACTGATTGAAATCATGAGTCAATTGAAACTAGACCACCATGGAAAACCTGGAGGCACTGGACGGCCGTTTCGTCCTAGTATGGGACTCCTCAGCGGTGCGCATCCACGATTCCGCTCTCAGGACCTATCAGTCTCGCGCCAGGCGCTTCACCAGCTATATCACTGAGCTGGCCTGAGTCCAACGGTGTTAATATCTAACTTCAATCAATCCACGAGGTTGCGCCACCGTCCACTATTGTCATCAGTGAGCTGATATCTCATAACAGACCTGATCGAACTCCACTGGCCTAGCTTCAATTGACTCATGATTTCAATTAGTAAAATTTCTAAAATCTCCACAAAACCCCTTCTGATAAGAGAATATTGTTTAGAATTTGTGTAAACAAGTAGTATGTGATTATTTCTCTGTTAACTATATCTATCTACCTGATTAGTTTAACTCCTTAATTTGCATATATAGTGTGATATAAATGAAAATAGACATTAGGTTAATAATTGAACTATTCAGGACATGATGTTTATTAGAAAACAGATTTTACACCAAATAAATTAATGACTGAGTTCGAAATTAACTATCGAGTTTTGATGAGTAAATTCTTCCAAGGTAGTTTAATTGATAATGATTCCAACCAATAAAGTAGATCATAATCAGTTTAATTTTAAAATTACATTGATTTACAAAAAAACACAATAAAAAATAATCGATTTTTAGTCTTAGCGATTATTTAATCTAAATCAATGAAGTATTTTTCCAATTATCTAGTATCCTACTGTCAAGTCTTTGACCACATAGTAACAAGCAATATTAATTTTATCTAATATCTAATGCTTTTTTCTGTTTTATTAATTAATCAAGAAACAATATTAGAGGAAAAAACATGAAAGAAAATATTTTTCTAAAGAGAAATAAAAATTTATGCAATTGGATTAATATATTACTAAATAATATGAATTAAGTAGTATTTGAATGATTACTTACCCAATGCGAAATAAAAACAAGCCATTTGTCCAACAGTAGGCTTATTAATAATACGTTTCAAAATAACCTAAATTAACGAACAATAAATCATGATGAACAGAAACCATGTACATATTGATTTAAAGATATTATTTAGTCAGTTGGAATCAAGAGCCTACGTCGATAAAGTCGATTAGAAAATTTTTTTTAAAAAGTGTTTCTGAATTCACAGGTGATCAGTCGAAATATAAATGAAAATTATGAAAGATGATGATGAAAACAAAGATCGATTTTTACTGAAATTGCAGGAGAAGCTAACCCCGCTCAATTAGAAGTCAGCGGTACATTCTTCCAATATTCGTCCAATCCATAGTGTAGTACAATCTCTATCACTCAACAAAATATCCAATGAACATAAAGGTAAAGCTTATAATTTGATCGGTCACAAGTTCTCACAATAATCACTGGAAATCCCCTAGAAACTAGACTAGTTTTTGGTTACCAATCGTAAGTTCAACAGTAAAGAACGACGAAAAGTCTAGCTCATTAACTGAGCGCTAAATATTTTGTTAATGCTATGAACTGAAACTTTTGTTCGAAAGCTCGCAATATTACACAGTCATCGACATTAATTTAGGTGATCAATTTTGCCTATATTGTCTAGTGATTAATAAACGTTTGTAGTTCCTAAATCTAAGGCTAAATTTGAAGGTTAATATACGGATACGTTAGGTTAAGAGAGTCGATGAAAAGATGTTTAAAGTGGTCTTATTGTCCATAAGTTTCTTCAAATATTATGATGAGAAAATTTCCAGTCGTATTTTCATTAGTATGTATATAAGTCTTATTGCTTATAAATGGTTGATCATGTAATTCAAGATTAAAGATCTTCATCCATAAACTCTCAAGAATTTGTATTTTTAAGGTTGGGAAAAAGTTTATAATTCTTCATACAATGGGATATGCCTTCTTACTGTTGGCAGTAGAAAACACCTCAAGAGTGATAATTCACTTTCAGCTACATATAATAAGATTTTACCACACACACAAATTTACATACATGTCAATTATGAATCACCTTGACCGAAACGACATATCATTGATTTGTTCAGACCTGTATTTTTTATTGATCCCACATAATATTCTTACGTTGTTCCTTTGTACTATTTAGACTTGGATTCATTTTGACTTAATTATTTAACTTTCTAAAGAAGTAGCTTACGTTAAGTCACGAAACGTAGGAAAATTTAATTTTCCTATCCATTTATTTATAATTTCAAACAGTTTACCATATTAAAATACAAAAACTATTTCATACATGACATGTGGTAATTAGTTTATGAATTTTAAGGAAGTCAGTTTTTCTTATTCAAAAAAACGGTATAGTGACCATTCATCTTTATGTATCCATCTATGATAAATAACCAACTTCAGCTTTAATTAATTTATCCAAAATCTGTCAAGTAAACGAATATAAAAATGTACACATCAAATGACATTTTAAATAAAATAACAAAAACCAACTACTATTTGGGAAAATTTTAATCAATTCACTAATTGGTAAATTTTATTGATCATCTATCAAAAATTATTGATTATAACGTTCCTCGTTAAAATCATTTTTAATTGTGAAAATCTGTTAGTTACTAAAAGGTAAGAATTAGTATACAGTGTGTTAAAGATTCACTATGATAAATATTTATTTTAACAGTTGAAATCATAAATCAGTTGAAGCTAGATCATCATGGAAAACCTGAAGGCACTGGACGGCCGTTTCGTTTATTTGTTTTCCTAAATGATTTTTTAAAATCTCGGAAGATGTGATAACAAAGGTAAATTGTATTGTTACTTTCGGATTTCAATTGATTGTCTAAATTGATATGAGTAGCATGACTGGTTGTCGGTTACTCAAGAAAGACAAATTATTTACTTAGAGCTACTTAATGAACGAAGATTAAAAGAAAGAGCAATTGGCTATAGAGAGGAAACATTTTTCCAGTAGACTGATATAGTTGTTTTCAAAATATATGACACAAAGCTAAGCAAATTAAGCTCATTTAAAACGGAGTTAATTATAGGATACAAATTCCGTAGGTAATCCACCATCCTATGAAACGAATATTTCCTCATGGGGTTTGATCCGTACCTGTCATGTTAGATAGTATACGTGAAAGGCTCTGAAAAGTTTGCCATTCGAACTATCATAAATGACTGGTGAGTTATACTATTGACATGTCAGTGTATATTACTCTATGATAACTGAAAGGTTTCAAAATAAAAGCTGAAAAACATGTTGAGTCTTATTAAAATTTCAAAATTAAATAGACAATTACTTACTATAAATAATGAAAAGATAATTATCGACACACTAGTAAGACATTTATACCACATTACCAATTGATCACTGTATATATTCAAGATTACCCCACTGGAAGCCATAATGAATGCAATGACCTAAAATAATATACATATAAAAAAGTACATACTGTTTTAGATATAATAAATTGGTTCGAACTCTTTCTGTAAATAATCATCAAAGAGATTAAATTTTATGAAAAAAATGGCTTTCTGATAAGAGAGATTTACACAACTATTTTATTATAGAATAACATTTCTAATCAAATGAAATTGATAAGTTAACTCCCAGAGACCAAACACAAAGTCATTGAATAATAGTATCGCATTATCTTTGGAGAATTAAAAGTTTCGCATCTAAATCTTAAGGAGTAGATCTCATCTCACGTAGTAAGCAGAATAAATAATTTAAAAGATATCTCAGTCATTTCTGACCTATGCTGGTGTTTTTTTTACAGGCGGTAAATAAAGTATTAAGCTACATTCATAAAGATTGATTGTAGTAAGATATTAACACCGTTGGATGCCGGCCAGCTCAGTGGTCTAGAGGTTGAACGTTCGCGCACGGACTGAAGGTCCTGAGTTCGAATTCCGCGCTCAGGATCGTGAGTGCCCACTGCTGAGGAGCCCTATAATACGACGAATTGGCCGTTCAGTGGTTCCAGGTTTTCAATGGTTCTCAAACATCGATCGCTTCATGATCTTAATTCAAAAAACGTTCATCACCGTTAAACGTGTCTGATAGACCAATTTGTTAGTTTACTACAAATAATACTATGAACTTGTCGGTAGCTCACTGTTAACATGGATTTTAGATTAAAATCAACTTATTGACTATTAAAATAAACCATTTCCAAGAACTTGTTGCATCATCTGTATTTCGAGTCATAATGGTGATAAGCTGCGACGTCATCTGGAGCAGATAATTTAGGTATCACTTGTTTAGTTAATAGGTTATAAAATCAAATGTTAAACTTCACTGCAAAGACTCTCACACTGACATCAACAACACGAAATATAAACCCTTACAAATTGTTATTTATTTGTTATTTCTCACTTTTCATAAATCTCGTTAGTATATTAGAGACATATGTTGAACATTTATTAAAAATCATTAAACTCTAAATACCTATTTCGGCCTAGTTTTTTATTATACTATTAGGTACCCACAGCTCCAAGTAGTGTTGAACCCAAAGCATTAACATACATCTAGTAGTAAACATAACAACTTTTGCGCATCTGTATTTTAATATTTTCAGATTTAGTGTTAAGTGGTTGGAGGTAGTCTACAGGAAACCCTGATGTTCGATGGTACTCATCAACAAGGCATCCCAGTGATCAAATTAATGTTTTCTGTAGAATCCAATCCACCCCCATCACAAACCTTCACTGTCTGTGACGTTATCACTGAGCTAATAAATAAACGACTAGTCACTCACAAAACTAACATGTTTACGTTCAATGCTTTCTGAGTGATACTCAACATCTCACTAGATTCATGTGAAATCCATCACAAAATTAGTCACAATGGATTAATTTTTATTTACTACAGCGGTTTTGTTTGTCTTTATAATGTCAGTAAACCAGATAATTGGATATATAGAACACAATATTTCCATTAATAAAATTCATCGTAGTTGGTTGTAAAATAAAAATTTCTGATAAAACTTACCCGTAAAGCACAAAATCGTCTATGTACAATAATCCAGCATAATAAGTATAAAAAACAAGGGAGTACAGCTGTGATAGCGGCACAATCAATTGGTGTTATAATTCTTAAACTGCGAATATAACAGTGTATAAATATTTGCCATAAACTTGATAAAAGACTACATCTAGCAATAATTTTCATAATTTTTGGTTGGTCACTTGCTACGATGATAGCATGATTCCTGAATTAATCAAGTTAAAGGAAGAGAATGAAAGAGTGAAAGCAAGAAATTATTCAATTAAACGTTACAGATAATGATCTTTATAGAGAAGAATAAACTATCGGGAATTAGTAAGTGTTAAAAGGAGTGTTTGCGGTGAAGGAAATGTTATTATTTTCGACGATTTCATCTATTGGAGCTGCACAGAAGTCATCTATAGAAACAAAAACTTAATATCTGATTAACAGAGGTACTAAAAGTCAGAATTTAAAGTAACATAATAATCAATGGATAATAAGAATAAAATAACATGTAGAAACGAGATATGAAGGTTTTCTCACCTAACAATTATACAGAAGATAAAGCTATGAATTGAGATATTTGAAAATAAGATTGGAAACAGAGATATGAAAGATAACTTTCTACTTAGAGAATATGGAAAGATGAAAAAGAGAACATGTGTCACGAAACAACAACTGACAAATTATGAATTGGTGTTAGGATCATGATCAAATGGATAGACCTTCTATATCTCGTTTCTATGCATTAGTCCATTCATATTACCCTTTAGTCATTACGTTACTTTAAAGTTTGATTGACTTTTAGCACCTCTGTTAATGAGACAATAAGTTTTTGTTTTTACAGATCACTATGTGTAAAATGTAACGATTATACTACTGTGCAGCTCCAAACATTTAAATTGTATGTCAGAGTTTGTAATTTTCTGTTGTTGATAGTAAGTAACCCAATATAACGAAACGTACATCCTGGATTCCATTATTGTCACAATTCAAATATCTACAGACACTTGTGACTGAATGATATGACTGACTAAATCCACTCAGGTTGAATATATGTCAATAAAGCCTGATCAACTGAAATCCTCAATATAAAAGATGGCAAAGTAATTCATGCGATTCCACACAACCGTCATTCATTATTATCAGTGAAACCTATTTCACATATTGCATAGTTATGCTTTACCAGTTATACCTTTTTACTTAGGTAATTTCTCTTAAAGTTCGTTACCAGTGAGTGCACGATTATCCTCAACAAACGATGTTTTGTGAATAATGTTCAGCTTTTAGGTTAGAACATGAACTGATTCCAGCTAGGTAATCACTGAATATCAGGAAGAACTAGGTAGTTTTTTCGTACTGCTAAAAGACTCATTAGCAGTAGGCACCTACTACATAGTCAAGGGTTAAAACCGAGAATTTAAGGTCTCATGATGAGCAAGTAATTTCTGGATTAGCGAGTTAATACTCAGTGGTTTGTACTTCTAACTTCGACCTGTTCACTATATCGTACAACTGTCATTCATTGACACCGATTATGCTTGTCTCACGCTTGACATTGTCATTTAGCTTTGTCCTGACAACATACCAAGAAAAAAGCATGTTGATTTAAAAAGAGAACAAAAGAATCAGTAAAAATACGTCTAACACTCACATAATCATTTCAGTGATTGTAAATGCTTCCAAACGGAATAACAAATTGATAATGAGGTATATCGGGTAAATTAAAATTAACCAAAATGATATAGTATAAGAAGCCAATGACGGAGGATTTACAAGTTCCTGAATGACAATGAGAATATTATGAATAATAATAATAATAATAATAATAATAATAATAATAATAATAAACCTTTTATAGTGGGACAGATGACTTGTGTGTAAGTATAAATTATTGTACTTTTATAGAATAACTTATCTTAAAATCCAGTCAATCATTGACTTTTTATCATTAGTAGTATGTCAGGTCTGAATGAAATAGCGATAATTGAATAGTGTTAATTTTTCTGATGAAATTTACGTTTTTCTGAAACATTATTGGATTAGAATCTTGCTATATAAAAAAATGATCTCAAATTATGATCTAGACCAAAATATCCCCATTTTTGACCAGGTTACTTTTAAACAACAAATGCTATTTACTTTAGATCTTTTGTAGGTTCATGATTGTTCATTGTTAAAAAGCTTGAAACTGAAACTTAACAACCAGCTACAGTTCTTAGATTCAAAAATGTTATCCAGCTGTTAAATATCTGTGACGGCAGTCTCCAATGGAAACATGTTTATTATTTATGTATCATTCCATATTTGTCCTGTTGTAAAGATCTACATTTTCATCTGTTGTTTATAAATTCATCACATATCCATGATTCGCATTGAGAGAAAAGTGAAAAACGTAAGACAATATTGTGAAGAATATCAGCCTCAAATTTATTACATCAATATAATATCTCTTCAATACAGTCTATTTTGTATTGTGTTTTGTTCCATTTACGAGTGTCATATACATTACCATTATCAATTAGGGACACCTAATAATCCTTTAAAAAGGTGGAACTGCATTTTGAAAACTAAGGCAACCATGTACTATTTTATATCCTAGATAAAAATATGAATTCCCTTGCTCAGGGTAGTAAACACTCATTTTTATCTATTCGGATCTAAGTGAACCGACTATAATTCTTTATAATTGTAGCTATAAAAAAGATTTATTTTTTTGAAAACCATCTACAGATGTCTCCATAAAAGATAGAAATATTGTCTAATTGGTTTGCAATTAATTAATTGTGGTCGTTTGCCTTAATTTTTATTCACTAGACATGATTTCATACTAACCCAAGCTAACCACATATCGAAGACATGAAATGTCAAAAACTATTTTTAGTAAATAATTAATTTTTTAGCATCAGAAGGGGTTTTGTGGAGATTGTAGTAACTGCAATAGTTGTGATCATGAGTCAATTGAAGCTAGACCACCATGAAAAATCTGGAAGCACTGGATGGCCGTTTCTTCCTATTGTGGGACTCGTCAGCAATGCGGATTCACGACCCCGCTTGTCGAGATTCGAACCGAGGACCTATCAGTCTCGCGCGCCAGCGCCTAACCACTAAACCACTGAGCTGTCCCAGCATCCAACGGTGTTAATGTTTAACTTCAACTAGTCTACGAAATTCAGCCACACATCCACGATGGTCATCAGTGAGTTACTATCTCGCAACAGACCCAGTTGAACTCAACTGGTCACAACTTCTCACTAAAACTCCAGGAAATACCTCTTGAAGCCAGTCATTAGTGAGCACATGTTGATTATAATCAGATAGGGGTTTTATGGATATTATAGTAATTTCAATAGTTGAATATTTATTTTAAATTGCTTTTATGTATGTGTATATTCATCATCATGGTATATCTACGTCTTGTTATTGAAATAAATTAATCGACAGAAACAAGGTTCATTTATCACCATCTTCTTATAATTTTATTATTATGAGACTAACTGAAATGAAATAAATGATTAATGCTAGTGTACCTTGATCAATTTAGTAAGTTTTCCCAGTTCTTTATTGGTTTATTTGTAAATGCATTCACTATGATAGATATGCAGTGACGTAACATGTTTCATATAGAGGAATATAAATTATGTAATATTGTTATCGAGATGTATTTATGATAGCATAATTCTAATTAGTATTCAGTGTATTGTGAATGAGAGTTTTCATCTTTTAATCAGTATTAATAACTAAGCTAATTTTAGTAATGGCTTTTTCATCCATTATAAATTTATTGCATAAGTATTTCTGAATAAGAAAAAGTCAATATAATGAATCACTTAGGGTAGTGTCCAAACACAGATTTTTAATCTTTATAAAATGTAAATTATATTCAATGGGCAGGTACAAACATCCTTTCGTTTACTGACAGCTGACTGAAATTAGGTTTTATTTAATTGGAAACTCATGCCAAATATATCAATGTGTTTATAAAGTATTCTTTCTGTAGTTATTTTGTAAACGTAATTCAGCTTTTAGGTGACACTATCAAAAACCTGAGAGTATTGAACGGCCATTTCATTCTGTAAATGAAGACTTTAATCCAAGATATTAATTGGATTCAAAGCCATCAAGTCCCATAGCGATGGCTTAATTATTAAGCTGCATTGTTGAGATGCGGCGATCCACATTTCCCTCTTTATTTTTACTTGTAATATACCTTGACGATCGTCCAATATCGTTAGTGATATCTGGATCATCCCCAACATGGTTAAACATCTTCTTTGATGGCTTACGATTAAAACTTTAATTATTCATCGCTAAGGTAGTTAGTAATGAATGACTAATTATGGTTTAGTTAATGGGCTTGTGTAGAATAAATTAATTCACAGGTAATATCTATGTTCAAATTAGATAACAATAGTTTAACTATTTTCACGATTCAAGACTAAAGTATGAACCATTAATTCCAAACTTACTGGTTGAAGGGATACCCACTTACCGTAAGGCCTGAAGATCCTGGCTTTGATCACTGGTGGTGTTGTGGAACATCGCTGTTAAAACATCTCAAGTCAGGGTTTAACACCTGCTCAATATTTTTCTGTTTTTCGTGAGACTTTGATTAATGTGATTTTATAATGAATACCCCTTCGAAGTTATGATATCTTCTACATTGCTGAATACTACTCAATAAATAATTGTTTTTTTATTACTAACATTTCTCCCATTTCATTTTTATAGTTGATTTAGAGAATAATTTATACTTATTTAGTTATCAAACGACGCCATTTAGGTTTGATAGGTTTAGACCTTTTTGATGATAATGACTAATGTTTGTTATAACTGATGACCAGTTATGAAAGTGTTTTGTTTACCACAGTAAGGTCATTTCAGCAATTACTTTGGCTACGAATCGCTTATAAAAGACAAACTGCATAAATACAGTAAAAGTTCTTCTTAATTCATTAGATATTAACTAAAAATATTAGTCAATAATTACCAGGGATAATTTTTACATATATAAGGTCATTAACTGTAACTCATATAATTCCGTTGGCATGTCGATTTGAAATGATCATGGTTACGTTAATTAGCTTCATGATGTACGACGTACAGATACATAATCTGGCAATTTTAAGATATTAGTTTAGAAAGGTGGAATACTTATGAGAGTACCTAAGCATCATTTGGAATGTGATTATCAATAAATCACACTGTTATTTACAAGGCATAGATTGTATTGTAGTTTTGATTCAGTCTGAATACGTTTATAATAAAAAGCGTAAGTAATAGCCTCAATCAAACATCCTTTGACACTAATCGATCGGTAAACAGAAACCAAAGTCATGTTGTCCAGTTTTTAGGGCTGATAAGGTACTTCCAGTTTCTTTGTAATTACTTAGCTAGGTTAGATATTATTGTATATTATCGATATTATTTTATTTTACTTCATGGAAGCTGGAAGAAATCAACAGGAAGTATTGAATCTAGAGTTGTTACTGGTTCGTGCACATAAAACAGGAGAATTGGGATTATTTGTTCAGTAGAAATTCACTGGTAACTGAGGTGGCTTAATGTAAACATTGTTGACAAAAATATTGCAGATATGAATTAAGATCTTATAGAGAACAATCGTTTTATTAGGGTCATTAATTTGTTTTGCTAACAAAGTACTTTTGTTCATTGCTATTCGAAAATCGGTTCGTATTGCACAATAATAGAAGGTGTACATAAAATCACCAAATTCAGAACTAAGATTTACCTGAAAAGTTGAATTATCCCAGTAAGTGTAAACATAGATATTTGGTACGCATTCTATAAAACAAACAAATGATGTACTAAGGAATGCTGTAGTAAGAAAATACCATAGAATTTGCCAACATAAATGTTTCAATTGTTCGGTATGCTTTTTATGTGTTCCAATAATTTTCCAGTCATGTTTTTTGTACAAACGTTTTACTGCCCATTGAAGTTTATTTTGATTAACCTGTTGTGTATTATCCTGTGTTTGATTTGTAAAAGGTAATACAGGAACTTCTAATTTAATTGAAGATATACTGAGTTTATTAGTTGGATTCTGTTGAGACAATTGTTGTGTTGTGTCATTATTTAATTCATTTGGCTGGTAGATTGATTGTGTTTGTTGCTGTGGTTTTCCTGTACTTGTATTAACTGCAATTTGATTATTCGGTAAACTAGATCTAGAGTAAATAGAATCTAATTTTTCACTGGACTGACTGTCTTTATGACGATGATGTAATTTCCTTGTTTTTAATCGTATTGGAGGTAGTTTAAAACAGGAACAATCATGCTAAATGGAAATAATAATATTCAGAGATAGATTGAAAAATAACACTGAAGTACTGAGGATAAATTATTTCCTTATAATGCAGATACGTTCAAATGTTTATTTATAAAAAAGGTTTTAATGAACAGTCACTTGGAGCTTTTACCCAGTTTTAAGGTACCCACATTTTAAATAAGCAACTAATTACTTTAGGTTGGCCAACCAGTTGGTACCTCTGAAATTCACACAAACTGTATAGCGTAACACCAAGCATATAATTCTATCCTTGGCAAATGCAACAATTACCCTCATCGCTTTTATAATATTACTGATAACAAATGGAATATAAGTGACAAAGATGGAATGCATAGTATTTAACATCAGCTACGTTTGATAAACCAACACTGAAGATAAGTTAACATCTTAGAACTGAATATAAGCATGGATTTATTATGAAGGTGTTATGTCTTGTGACCGCCAATTAAAGAGCAGTGACTTATCGATCGGATCAATGACGCGTAAACCCGTATGAGCAACCTAGAGTTCTGATTGGCCCTGCTTTCTGCCTAGCCCAGTCAGTTAAGTCCAGAATACAAGTCTCAGCCTCTGCGATATGAATCATGTATTTCAAACATGCTTACTTTATATACAAACCAAACAGATCACATCGTACCATAAAATAGAAAGTAACGTTCGTACAAGATTTGGCCAAATGTGGCTGTGAACGTGGGAGGTAGTGACTAATAGACAGGGAATAGTTCAAGAATGGAAAATCGTATAATAACAGTTCATAGGTTAAAATAAAGTTTATAATAAGAGAGACATAAATACAAATAGTTTAGTTATTTAACAATTATACGATCAAAATATACGCACAGTATTGGTCCATAAATAGATCCCAAAAAATTACCACTCATTATTCTTATCGGGATACAACAAAATGCAACCACTATAAGTTCATTAGAGACTTTCAAAGCTCTTCAAAATTATGTCTAGTTTGTAATTATTGAAACATAAGGCGTGTCACAAGTGAATCTCAGATGATCGCTTGATATAACTGAACAAAACACTTGATTAAATTATTTTGGACAGAATCAATTTTAAGACAATCAATAATATCTCACAGGTCAAATCATGATAATCAGCCTGTTGTTGCTTACATAAGCCTAATCGATCATTATCAACGTAAAAAATTATGTTCAAACATAACTCCAAGTACCTTTCAACACAGATATCTCCAACAACTTAAATTGTAAAGAAGATTCGATGAATTGGAAGTCATTTAACTTATTAAATTAAACCGGAGTTCAAGGCTTCCTCAGCAAAGCCATTAATCATCGCTCACTCTTTAGTAGTTCAAATTCGTTTTGTAAAATCAATGGTAAAACAGATAAATATGTATATTAGTCTTCAGAACATTATTCATTCAAATAATTTAAGTGAGTAGTTAATTTATTTACGGAAACTCAGTAGGTATTAGTTAGTTGCAAATGTGGGTAAACATTACTTTGTTGAAGTAAGAAATGGTTGAGACACCTCGGTTAAGGAAGATTGATAGCCTGATCAAATACCTTAAGCTCACAATCTACTCTTAATTTCAGTGTTCCTCATTTGGCTATCCCATAATACATAAATAAGCCTACGATGAAATCTTTCAATAGGAACTAGTAACCTATCATAAACAGTGCAAGAACCTGGCACAAATGCATATCAGCTGAAGTTACCGGAATACATCACTGCAAAAAGGGAAAATTTTCAATTTTAATATTAGTTCAAAAGTATTATCCATGATATTCATGGACGTCCTCTAGTTCCAAAGACCACATTTCACACTTATAATGTAAAACCCAACGTGTCGCATCTAGAAAGGCCAATAAACGATGTTATCTGCCCTACTGAAAAACTTTCTTTTAGTTATATGACTCATCACCGGTTTATACCTATGACCTCACTAAAGATAGAGTCCAGACCGAACATGACTCATACAGAATAGATTATTTTTTAGATTTTTGAGTTATTGAATGCGATGGTCCGCATTTCTGAATCTATCCCAGATTTAGATTTATTTATCATCAGTCGCATAACACGACTATATATTTTACTTCAGTTTCGGACAGATAATTATTCAAGGATTCTAACTAGTAATAAATAATCACAGAAATCAAAGAAAAAAGTCCCTCATAAAAAAACCTACCGTTGGTGCTACCAAATCATCTAATTGTATGTGATCTATACAAGTGTCACTTGTTAAAAATGACCCATTTTCTAATTGAAGAGATAATGAAGAACGTGTAGGATTCAAATGACTATCTGAAGGAAAAAAATAATAAGCATAAATTATCTAGTTTATTATGTAGGCAAACTGACTATTGACATTTAAAATAAGCTGACAACTCAGCATTGAAGAACACTGTAAAAATGATTACATATTATTAAATATTCCCATTGAGACATTAAATCGAACTTGTCTTTTAATGTTACTTATTAGTAGTATTTGCATCTTGTATGTATTTTAAACTCATATTTACATGGAAAAAATACTACTGCCTGAAGAGCATTTACAAAACCGAAAGCATTCATTTAGCGCAGAGTGTATTGCTTTATTACGTCGATAATCTAAAAGAAAACCATATACAAAATTACAGTTCCAGTTTTCAACGTCCTTAGCCAGGTATCTATCGGTAACTATCAATTCGTCATTCTGACCAAGTGTATATTCAGTAAAATCGATTGGTTGAAATCAAAATGCCTACCGACAACCTATGAGTAGAATCCACTCCTTCAGAAAATAGTATGCGCTTATCAATGTTATAGTGTTTCTATTTTATTAAGAATAAATCCACTTCTATTGTTTCTGTATTCATTCACAACATCGGTAAGTCATACTAATTCCTACATTCGTAAACCTCCTTTCATAAAAATAGAAGTGTAAATGAATGGTCACAAATACTATTTTATGTTGAGGCTCAACTCATGTGATTATGTAAGTGAAATAAAAGATCGTAATATTGAATTTGTAAGTATCAATGCCAAGATTGAACTTGATAGTTTCAAGTAAATTAACCATTAGGTACAGTGGTCTTGAGTGCCTGGTCCTACGTTGTAGTTGACTGACTGAACCATTGGGTAGAAAGTTACTAGTAAATATGCTATTTCGAAATATGACACAAAGTATATTTGTTGTTAAATCGAAACATGTTTGACACTTGTTAAGCTATTCAAATGTATGAAGATGAAAGAGTCTGAATTTTAGATTGGAATGAATTCTACTAGTATTTCTATGATCAGCAAATATGACAGCTAATCAAAGCCTACTAAAATGCATCACAATATATCAATCTCAATAAGTAATTATTTAGAACCGTATTAAATTGATACAAAACTGAGTAACGGATTAATAGATAACTGACTTGTAATTTATAAATGCGTCATTTTATAACATAGAGTTATAGCCTTAAAAAGTGTCAGTCAGTCAGTCAGCTACAATATAGGACCAGGCACATATATGTATCGGTCCAAGTTTCCATATATCATTAACACAACAAGTTTAACACTTGATTCATAGAAGTAGTTAATTCAATGATGGTACTTTATAGAAGAAAGATTATATATAAGGTCATAGTACAGAAAGAAAGAATTAGTTCGTTGAAAGAAAGATATGAAGCGATTTTAATCTCATAGTTTAAAGGAAGACAAAGAATGTATGCATCTACATTATCGTGATCGATCCTGAGCCATGTCACCAAGAGTCTCCAACCATTGGTTACGACAGTCACGTGGACCCTAACCAAGTCGTCTACATCTACCAACATAGCTCAGACTAGAAGTTAGTGACTTCAAGCACTGATGCCACGTTTTGGTTTGGCCGCCTCTAACTTTCTTCCAACCATCCCCAACACTGGTTAGCGTTGCGCGTTTTGGTAATCGGTGTTCAGGCATACGTAACACTTGATCCGACCATCTCAGTCGATGAAGATTCACAACCTAATCAACTGATTTACCATCATTCCCTAATACCGTGCGTCTAACCTCACTATTACTTACTAGATGATCCCAACAGGTGCAAGTAATATTTCTAAGTCATCAGTGGTTAAATTCTAGTAGCTTACGAGTATCTTCTACTCTTAATAACCATAAAATAACTGTTCATTAAGTAAGGCTTAAATTAACACATACTAATTCATGATTTTCCCATTCACAAATCTTCCAACAATCACGTACTTAATTTTTGACAGTTTATTATTATTCCCTATTGTTGATGCTCAGGGCTACGAGTGTTCTGTAAATTTGGTGTGTAGCTAGAAGCGGACTGTCAAGATTCGGATTTTATCCAACTCATGACTCATCGTCTCGGTCAACCTGCATCTCGATGTTGATATCATCACTGAGACTCAAACCCAGTAACTTTGGCTTCTTTTGACATTTCCTAAATGGGTTGAAACCCCTATTTTGGATTCCACCGTTAACTATATACCCATCACTATTATATTGTTCAAAATACTTAAATTTTTAATTCATGGATTTAAAATCTCTCAAATGAATGAATACATCATCTATAAATTTTATGCAAATTTTCTAACTATATAATAAATTTCACTTTTTTGTTACTGAACAATTGAGATAAATTCTGTTGACAGTAAATTGTTTAATGATATAGAAAAAATAATTATCGATTTATATCAGAAGGGGTTTTTTTGTGAATATTATAGTAATTTTAGTAATTGAGATCATGAATCAAATGAAGCTAAACCAGCGAAATTATCGACTTGTTGTGGTTTTAATTGTATTAGTTAAGCTAGTTACTATGCAAGAAAATAACCAAAATAATTTATTTTAAAAACGTTTCCTAAGGGAAGAGGTGAAACCTAACACTAGTGAATTATGTCTACGTTAGTTTTGTGCACAACTATTCATCTGAGTTATTTGTTATTTATTTAAAAACTAACTTTAAATTATTAAGAAATTACTTATTATATTTTTGCGGAGAAATGATGAATGTCATTCAACTAATTTTTTTTGTTACTAATTGGTTTTTATAATAATTATTCTGAAATGCATATACCACTAATTATAAATGTCTATCAAACAACACATTTCATGGTTAAATAAACATAGGAATAAAAGTTTTGCTTACGAAGTTACTTTCTATACGCAATATTAAAGTTCTGATAAGGATGCAGCAATCAAAGATTATTATTATTATTGTTATTGATTTTAATATGAATTTCAGAACTGTGTCTAAAAGAATCAATTTGTATTTAGAATGGTGGTTTGAGGAAGTCGACAGGAAACCCTAAACCCGGGTTTCGTGTCACTAAGTGGTTATCAATGTCATGTGTGTCAAGTCCGTATTAATGCAGATCGAATGCTATCGACCAAGTTGCAATGTGGCCACTAGTCTAGGTGACTCGACATCGAATCCATCAGGGAGCACCGGTCGCCACAAGATAGCAGGTATCCCTTGCTGATGAGCGCCAAGGGGCACGAAACCCGAGTCCAGGGTTTCTTGTCGACTACCTCCAACCACCATCTAATCTCAAAATAGTGCACGCAATGTCGAGTCACCTAGACTGGTGGCCACATTGCAACATGGTCGATAGCATTCGACCTGCACTAATAAGGACTTGACACACATGGCGCTGACCACCACCCAGTAATCAGTCAATTGTGAATCAATTTCTACTTACTTTACACATTTACGTCATATCAGATGATCAGTTAAATGAATTTAAAAATACAAAGTAATTTGGATTATTGGTGAAGTCATGAATAAGCACCGTTAAGAAGAGACAGCTTTCAGGACGCCTTTGTTTCCAAAATCAGTTCAACAATCTTCAAAATACCCTGTCATTTTAAACACTGAGTGATTTATCCAAAAATTTAAAAATATTTTCTTTTGTATCAAGTTTGTTTAACAGTCAACATAGTAGATTAATTGAAGACACATCTGATCAAATACAGAAATTTCAGTGCTCATAACGAAACGTTCCTTTTAGATCAATGACTTAGAATCTCAATTCATCTATGATAACTTCCACCTTAATATGAGTGAATTGCGTTAATTAAAATTATGCTGTAGATTTTCGAGAATCTATTTTATAGATAACCACTGAATAACAAATGATTGCGGTCCTTAACGACAGCCTGATCAAACATTTGCGTTACCTATTTTCGAACTGTACAAATATTGCAACTGAGATACCGTCTTTAGATTTTTCTAGACTAGAGGGTTATGGATGTTAACTGTATATGTTAACGTACCATTGTCAAAAGCTTACAAATTATTATAACGTTAAATACTGGAAAACTTAAACAGAAATACTACAATTCTTGGTAAGTTTTCTATATGATCTATCATTATTTTAAAATGAGAGGCGAATATATTGGAATTCAAAAGCCATGTATGTGACTGATGGAAAAATAGTTGTTGGCTGCTTAGTTCAAATGTGTGGTTTTTTACTTGTGAGCATGCAAGATGCCATATGAGATTATAGTCGAAGACGACAGTCCAATAGACTTGTATCCTATTTGTAGTAAACCGATTCAAATCGAAAACATGATCTAAGCAGTTCCAACTGTTTATAGATAAGGAACTTCTCTTTGCAGAATTGTCGATAATTCTTCAGTGATGCAATGTGCTCCTCCCCTTATACAAAGACCAGTAATAATTTCGCCGTAATTGATTAATTAACTGGATTTCGATAATTTCCTGTCAAGCTTGAATTGGCCAATGCCATGATCAGTTTTCTGAAAAACTGCGTAGACAAATAAAAAATCTAAGGTCACACCCGGAACAGATCGTTGAGAAGTTTTCCTTTTGCTGATTATATTTTATACTTTTACACCATAAAACCCGATAGTATTTAATTCGTTCCGGTTTGAAAAATATAAATAAGAGCTATTAAGGAGTTTCAAAACAAAACGATATAGTTCACGGAAATTCCATGATTTTCAATAGATTTTTCTTCAGCTGACTTCAATTGATGATGAAAATCGATTCTAAATTATACGATATTTCTACAACTTCATAATTCACCTTTTCTGTCAGCGACTGAAATAAATGAATAACTATTAAACTCATATTCTTATGGAAAGAAAACAATTTAATTAAATAAATAAATAAAATGTTTAAAATAACATTATAAGCAAAGATGGATGGTGGCTAGCAGTGGAATCCAGAACGCGCGTTTCGTCCTAATTTGGACTCATTGGCTGAATGTACGTGCATCACAGAGTTGATGTTCGCTCCGGGAATCAGATCCAATACCGTCCGCTTCAAACGCCATCGCGCTATCCACTTAGCTACTGAT